TGGCAATGAAATGTAATTATTTAGTTTAAAGGTTGAAAAGATTTTATCTACATCACAAGGGTAAAAAAAAAGATTGATTATTTGTTTGATATGAAAAAAATTATTATAGAGTGACATGTCCTTTTTTTTAGTAATGAATTTTGCACTATTGTTCTTTATAGATTATAATTTCTTGTAATTTCCATTTATCTTAGATTCTTTTCGATCGATCAATTATTTATTTTGCCAGATTTTGCCTCTTAGCTAGAATCAACAAAATAAAAAATATTATCTTAACATGTGATAGATTGCAATATGAATGCACGAGATTTTCATTAAGATTATTTCTGTTTAAAAGTGAAGAAAACTATTCACAATATACTGTTGTTCAGCTTTGAGATGCATTCCTCTCATATCTCGATCTCGTCAAAGCTACCAAATATTTTTCTGGCTCCATAGATCAAATTGAGTCTTCAAAGGATAATTGTAGATAGTGAAAAATTTCTACCAATCAAATCATCAATCGTTTAAATAGTTAGATAGATCATAGATTTTTGCTCAGTGGTTTACATATCAAGACACTTTCCGTTACAGTTATGAATTATCACTAATGTATGCTTGTTGAGGATTGCTCAATTGATGGAATGTCGCCTCAAGCCTCTCTTGAGTTTTGTAAGAGAATTAGTTATTATTGTAGTATGATTGATCCGATAGTGTTTATGATCAACATGAATATCTATATCTTTAACTTTAGGTATTACCTCGTACTCGATATTTTTGTGAAACTCGCATATATTTTCGAAGGAAATATAATGAGTAGAAGTTTAAATCGAAATTTGTACGACTCCCTCCCTTCTCATTACCAACTCAGTAACCAGGATTAAAAGTATTGGACGATATTAACAACAAAACTTAGAAGATTCTAGAATATTTCGAACCTTTTTTTAAAATTTGAATGACTGGAATACATTTATCAATATTCTAAATAACACAATTTCTCATTTTTGCGTAGATAGACATCAAAAATGATACTTTGATATCCCACGAATGTCATACGACCGATACAAAATCATGATCGGATCAAGTTCTAAATGTCGGTAATAATCAATTATAGTCTTATTGAGTCTATCTGGATAAATATAGATCATTAAAATCTGCTCGAGATATAAAAAATATGTACAACAGGCTTATCCATCCATCAAATAAATATTTTAGGCTAATAATAATAAACTATGAACATTTAATTAAAAAAGATAGGAAAAAAAACTTCTGTTTGAAATGTAGCAATAAAAAAAGAAATGGTTGCTGACAAACGATTACCATTGAAAAACAACTATGGTCTTTTACAGATTTCACATTTTGCGTGTTTTATATTAGTATAATGAAATTAAAAAAGACACGTAAGTTCCACATTTCACTCCCAAAGGGACAGCATTAATAAGCTTTCTTTGTTTATTATGTTGAAATGTTTACAGAATTTGTGGTATCTATTGTAAATGAGTAGAACAATCCTTTAAGTATTGTTAATTATATTAGTTCTTTGTTTGTTCCCTTTCATCATCCTCTTTTCTTACTTCAAAGTTCTTTCCTTCCGTTAGTATTCTTTATCTTTGTTTAATCATTCTTTAACCATTCATCTTCATCTTTTTGTTGTGCTTCCTTTAGCATGGTACCTTCACATCTTTCATTGTTCTGTTTTATTGAAAGAGGAACATCTTCATCATTCTCTTAGATTATATATTGATTAGCTTTTGAGCTTCTTTTTATACAAAGAATGAATTAGAAAGATAAATGTTCTCGTTGGTTTGTATTAAATACTCGTATTAGAAGTAATTAACGCTATTGTTCATGCGTTAAAACCCTTTTTATGTGCTCAGCCAATATCTTCTCTTAGTAAATCTTTCTTGTTTATTTCAGGCTTTGTTAACAGGAAAAGTCGTTTCAGTTCCTTTTCAAAACTATTTCACTGTTCTAATATGCCTCGAACAAGAAGATTAACAAACAAAAGTAAAGAATGAAATATGAAAAGTAATAATAAGAAGAGAGACAACTATGGAAAAGAAGCATATATATTAGAAGACAAGAAAAAACAAACGATCAAAGAATATTATTTTCTGATCTTTCAGTACTGCATCTAATAAACAGATGATATGTATATACACAAGCTTTTGTACTAGACATCTATTTAACTTAATTATTTGTCTTTCTTTTCTTTTTCGGAAAGGAAAGTCAAAATGTCACCCTTACCCATACAATAAAGAATGCTTCGTCAACTACTGGAGAAAGGTCAGCGTTAATATAATTGCTTGCGATATGTCGGTAAATATAGAAATATGACGATAATCGATGCCTGTTACAGTGATTGTCATTAGATAAACTTTAAAATCCTATAATGAATAAAGCTTAGTAATCTTATTTATCATTGCTAAGTGAAATACACTCAAATACTTCTCTGTGATTCTTTGTTGTGGATGAAATACGATTCAATTTTTCTTTTGATTAATTGATTCTTCAATCGAGAGATTTTTATTAAGATTCATTCAGTGATATGAAATGCACACTTCAAAAACATCTGTGTGACATACTACGTGATAATCAATATGATTCTGATTATTAAGTTATTCAGACTGAGTATACATTTTTTGCAATTTCTCCGTATGTCACGTTTCTTCTTAAATAAGTAAGAAGATTTTTTTCTATTGTATTTCAGATAGTTAGTGTGAGATTCATTCAAGCTCTAATTTTTATTTTATTCGTACAATCATACAGAATAGTTCTTAATTCTCTTATTTAAAAATGTATCATTCATAAATACTCGATGCATTCCTATTCAATAACTAATTTGTTTTTCTTGCAATGAATTTTGCATTGTATTTTATCACGTATATTAATAATTAGTTTGCATGTTCTTTTCTTTCACATGTATACTATGAATATAAATTATGCATGTTAATTCTATATACAAATCTTATTTATAAAATAAAATATTTCTTATTAATCGACAGTATATGTATAACTATGCTTTAACGCAAATTGAAGTAAATAAACCAAGCCCTGCAGTTTAAATAAGAAAATATATCGTGAAAATACGATTCGAATACTGTTTTGCGACTGAAATGGGTCCAAAGAGTATGGATATCTTACGATTAAAACGGCTATTATGTTTTGACTGTATAACACACTCGAAATGATTATTTAGAATTATATGGTTTTATTATTCAAGTAATTGGTGTCTCAAAAGAATTGTGTCCTTCTATATTTTCATGATAGCTTTTTGTTGATATATATATATATCTATTCGGACCTTATTTTTTCTTAAAAGACTTATCGTTGAATTCTCTACAAAGCAGTGTATCTTTTATTAATACATAGTTTCCCAAGACACTTGTCAAACAAACAGTTAAAAGTAAATATTTATGCAAAAGAATTTTGTATCAAATTATTTCGGTAACATCACACAGTTTTTTTGTATAACAGCTTCTTTACTTTTTTCCTATTTGAAGACATCTACAAATTTATCACGGATTGCAGAATCCGACGTATTTGAATCTTGACTATTCGATGGATAATGGTTCCTTATAAGGACAGAGGAATAGTGGCCTTGGCACAACTGTTGGACTCGTTGACAGTTGCGAAACGTCGCCTTCTGTCTGCTGAAATATTCGATCTGACATCAGTGATACTTTCCGACCACGTAGCATTAAATCAAAACATAGAAATGAAGTCTTCAGAACAGATCGAACATTTTAGCAGGCACAAGTGTGAGACTTCACATCTATCAACTCACACAACATTTGTGCCAAGATAACTTTCTATGTGTATATTTCTACGAATAGGAAAGCGTAAAAAAGCTATCATATAAAAACTTTATGATATATTTAAAAAAATTCGATGAAAACTTTTTTTCCAAAATGTTTCCCCTTTGATTGCTTCTTTGACGAGTATCTTGGAAAATTACTTATTAATAAGGCACATAATGTCTCGTAGAGAATTAAAAGATGAATCTTTACAAAAAAAAAACGTAAAGCCTGTAAAATAGATATTAAAAAACGATGCAATTAAAATACAGAAAAGCTTATCTGTTCTAGAACATCCATTATTATTTAGCTTTTAATTATATTCTACAAATAGACATTACACATTGACGAATACAATAAAATACAATACAAGGACTTCTAAGTTTTATTGAAAACAGATATTAATTCGAAAAGATTTTTAGTATTTGCATGATACTTGCTTAATAGCATCTGTATAATGAGACCATTGTCTAAATTCCATTTTTCGCTCTTGTTTTTATTGAATTATTTTATAATTTTAATGAACTCTTTGTATAATAGTAGAAAGTTATAATTTATAATTGGAAAGGAGAAAAATTTAATATCACCTTAGGATAAATACTGAAAAACAGTATTTTAATATGACTAGAAAACAGAGCACCTGTTACAGGCCGTCCGATCCAAATGTTTTGGACCCGAACCAATTTAACAAAAAAATTTCAGATCCCGGACTCGATGAGCTCTAGTACGTGTTATTCAGAGTGAATATTTTGTAATAATTGAAAGTTAAACAACTGATAAATTTCGATAAAAAAAACAGTGTTTTACTTTGCTCACATTTAATTAATTCACTTATTCAGTCCATAAATCAACAAACAGTAGAAAAATAGCGTATTTGTTTCTTTGGATAAGAATTATTAAAACGTTATAGAATGCTTGATTATTGTTTTTAATTCATAGCATATGAAGATAAAAAGCTTTTCTGCTGAAAAAATAAGATGAAGTTACAAAGCAATAACACTATATGCTGTAGCGTTCTGACAAACTGCGTGGAGAACGTCCTTTTTTTGATCAACTTTTCGCTGGGACCCGAAAAGACGCTATAATACGTTAATTAATGTAAACTCTATGCAGTAAAATAGCTTTTTCTATAAATGTGTCTCTTGTTAAATGAAAATTCAAATACATATTAACATGTATTCGTTTTTATTATATAGATATGAAAGATAAAAAAAAAGGATACAATTAAAGTTCCAATTTAATGCTTTTGTAAAACTCACTGTTAACAAAAAAGTCATTCAGACTTGATATTGTCATCACACTTTCTAATGATGTTCGTCGGTACCATAAATTGTGTATAATTTGAAATTCTTGTATTTGACGTTGTTTATCAGCTAAACAACAACTGCAGCAAAATAGGCGATAAATCCATGATTGTTGAAATTCTTTTAAATAAGATTTGTTAGGCAATACATAAATTAAAAATGTAAATATATGTGGAATGTAAAGTATTAATAAAAATCCAATACGAAGGCGTATATAAAATCTATTTGAATATATTATGCAAGAATCGAATAAATATTGAAATAAAGCAGATATACATAAACACAGTATCATAACAAACGATGGGAAAAGACTATCGATACAGATATGTAGTTTTCGATACCATTTTTGTTTTTGTTGCTTTATTTTTGAGAAAATAAATATCATACATATTAAGTGAATCATACATGGAATAAATATATAAAAATAAAATGTAGAATTATTCATGTAAAACCAAAATTGTTGTAAAGGATATTCATAAGTACAAAATAAAAGACTTGATTGATCTCGTTTTAAATGTCGAGCAAATATTTTATCCAGATTTAATATTAAAACAAGAATAAAAAGACCACATAAAACGAATAAAGTACATTTACGAGAACGAAATCGATCAATACTAAAGTATCGATTTAATACACTTTCAATAGCGATAACTGCAGTTATTAGAATACTTATATTGATGATAACAAGAAATAAATATGGATAACCATGACAAGCCCATAAATGAACTAAATAATTATCATATTCAATAGCAATGATTATATTTGTTAGAAATAATATCATCATTATAATACCACATATAGAAAATATAATTAAATAAACTCCAATTACTGTATATCGAATACGATCACGAATGAATGTTAGTAAAGAGAAAATATTACTGATTAAACCAATAGAAGCTAGGAAAATAAATAAAAAAAGATAAAAATAATGTAACGATGGAATATCATGAAGAATGGCTTCAACCATTGGCAAGGTAAGTGCATGGTTTCGAATCTCGTAGTGTTTATCAGTAAAATATGCATTGGTACAAACACAGACACCTGAATAACATCGACCACTGTTTATACAATTGCTATCGTTCAAACACAGCTTCATTTGACGCTCGTTTTCTGAAGAAAATAAGAGTGCTGTAAAGAATGATTTTACAGACGAAATATATCTTTAATTGTATATATTTTCATGATAAATAAATATGTGATTTGCATTATTCTTGATTATAGATACATATACAAAAAAAAACATACTTTCACACAATTTCTGATTCATTAACTACAATACTAATCAGGTGTATTTAGAATATCACGTTTGAATGATTAGCAGTATAAATTAAATTCAATGCAAAAAAATTGTGTAAATCTTTCGTATTCTGCATCGACTATAGGAAGGAATCAGATCAAAATGAAGTTATTGTCGAAAATCGAAGAAAGGTGTTCTTCAACGCATTAGCGTTTCGAGACAATCAAAATTGGATAGATGTGATAGTTATTGTATTGGGTATCTATTTTCCTAAAACAGATGTTCATCCGTTCGGAAGAGAAAATCTAGATAGAATACTGATTTCATTTGAGACAATGCATGCCCACACATGGATATTTATACGAACGATGACCAGAGTCAGAATATACTAAAGAAGAGAAGACTCAAATGAACATAACAAGAAGATTACACTAGAAATTCATATTAAATGTCATCATTCGTTGAAGATTTAAGAAAATATTATACAAGTAATAGATTTAATTACGCCAAAAAAGAAGTTGAATAAAAGTTGTAGGATACATGTCAAAAAATCGATTTATAGTTTGTAGCATGATCTATAACATCGGAGTATCATAAGAAACTAGTGAAGTAGCTATCCGGAGTCAGCGAAAGATAAACCTTTCATTCCTAGTGGAAATTTTTGATTTAAGTGAGTTAAGAAACATGAATGAATGGTTGTAAATTCTGTTGCCTGAAAAACTTTACAACGGTAGCAGTATATATAAATCTTTACAAATTGAAGAATACTAATTAGAAAATTTCTTCAAAAAATGGAGAAAGCTGAAGCAAACTTTCTAAAACAGAAAAAGGTATCTTCCTTTCCCGATTGCGCCATCTATCATCTGCTGTACCAATAACATCAAAAAAGAGACGAGCATACATTTTACCAAACTCCGATCTTTTTTCATATTACAGTCAAATATAGACTTTCCTTAGTACTAGAAAAAGTATAGAGTTATCAAAGAAATTTTTTATTTTTGAATAATAAAAAATCCGAATAAAAACGTGTGCTTAAAACCAACTATGAATAAAAAAAAACGTTTGAAACAAGTGGTTTACAATCTCATTGATTCACTCATTGTATTAGTTAATTCATGATGATAATGATTATGTTCATCATGAGTTGATGCATTATGCAAACAACGATCAAAGTTTGCATCATTTACTTGATTCATTGCTATTGAAGATTTATATCGATAAAATGAAAGATCTTCAGCTGTTGCATGAAGTGGTCCTACAATCGAATACAAAAAAAAAATAATAAACATTAATTTTTCTTTTTCGAAAAAACAAAAACCTTTTCCAATTGCTTTACAATGTTCATTAAATAAATTTAAAACTTTATCATGTCGATATTCAAGAAATGTTCGAATATCATCAAGTGAAAAATCTTTTTCAGCAGCATAATAAATTGATGTAAGAGCTGGTGCAAGAAATGGCCATTTAGCACGAAGATTAATTAATTCATCATACATTCGATATTTATCTCCATTTGAAAAAAAGCTTTTTTCCCATTCTGGTTGTTCATTAGTCGTTATTAAATTTGAATTTGATTCTTCATCATTATCATCATTATTTTGTCTATCATCAAACATATTCGAAGCATATTTTGTACGTAATTCAATAATTCGTTTAGCTGAAAGAAATTGTTCAGCTGAAAGTGATGTTTTTAATTCAGATGAATCATTATCAAATGTATTTAATGCATCAGTTAAACGTGATAATTTCATTTGAGCACGATCATCCATATATTGTAAAACATTTTGATTAGCTTCATTGATTCGTCTTATAATATCACGTTGCATAGCTTCAGCTTTTGCACGTGCATCAGCACGTTGTCTTTCAATAAATGAACGTACTTCTATTTGACTTTGTTGACGATTCATTTCCATCTGAATTGTGAAATGAATGAAATTAAATAATTGTTTTTGAATTAAAAATATTTATTACTTGTTTAGCAATATCACTCATTTCTTGTAAAACATATCGTTTATGTACTCGAACACACATATCACAATAAGCTTTATGACAATGTTTACATCGATGTCTTGCTTTCGACGTACATGATGGTTCAACGCATATTTGACCATCAAGTGATACACGATGAATAGGATGATCAGACATTTAATCTAAAGAAATTAGAACTTGTTTTTTGTCTTTGTGATTTATAGAAGACAATATAATTCTTACCTTAGGCTAGTATATATATATATATGTATGTAACAAAACGACGTAGTGATGACGATATTAGCTGAATGCAATGAATGCACTTCTCTTGTTTGTTTTTCTTTTCTATGCCGCCGATCGAGGTAGAGCTATAGATATATATGTGCATTCTAGAATAGACGAGCGTAAACGTCGATCCATGACAATATCTAGACTAGTCTGTTCTGTTGATGTTCAGAGAGATGACGCACTGATCGTGATGAATATCTGCAAAATCTCTTTCTGAGCTTAATATAATTTTTCATAAACTAAAAAAAGGATTCGACTAAAACATTCATTCAAACTAAATTGCATAATGAGTGAAAAAAATTGTTTAATGGTTCGATATTTATGTAAGAAGAATTGTTGAGATCACTTTTAAAAAGCATCGATCAAGTTTAACTAATCACAACATTATATTGAAAACTCACAATTCAATATAAAAATTTTTCAAAACTCATATCCATTTGATTCCTGTATTTTTTATTTTCAAAAAAAAAAGACAAGAAACCCATCGCTAATAATATAATTTATTAATAAAACTTTTTAAAATATAAGCATATTTGAAAAGTTTTGTTTGATTTGATTGTTGAAGAACTTACGACGAAGAAAAACCAATTGTTGATGATGATGATGATGTTGTAGATCTCATGGTATTTGTAGCTACTCGTTCATTCATTGTTATACCAAACCAAAAAGCAAGTAAAACAGAAGCAAGAAAAGCAAACGCATGAGCTGTATCTATTAATTCAAAACTATAACCAACAAGTCGAAAACGTCGTAAATAACTTCCAGTAGAACTTAAAAGAAAGAATGATGCGATAATAAGTAAACCTAATGGTAGAGGACGTAATTTTTCTGGAAATATACGAAGAAAAAGAGTAACTAATATGATAATACTGATGACAAGACAAATAAGAGCCAAAATAGCAAAAATAGCAGTAGGTTTTGAACAAACATGATTACAATCCCAAAGACCATAACCAGTTCTTGACCAATTTGGAGTTGTTAAACCAATTAAAGTAAAAAGTACACCAATAGATGTCATAATAATAACTGCAGCTAATACAATAGATTCAATTAGTTTCATTCTATGTATATAATGAATAAGAATAGGATGTCAATACGAATAAGATGGATGTATGAATGTAAAGTTTGGTGCATATATATATATACATATGTGTGCATGTATAAGAATAAAATGTTACAAATTCGATCGGTACATAATAGAAAGAAAGAACAAGGATGACATATATTTATTCAACATCAAACACCTTGTAGCAAAACATATTCGATCTATAAAGGATTTGTTCTCTATCTATGGAATTAATCATCTTCAATTTAAAATATAATTTTTAAAGATTAAGTCTAGTGGATGATTAGTAATACCATGTATGATATTGTTCTTAAATCTTAGAGATTTGTACTCATACTATAAATGATTACTCACAATCGTATTTGGATTGACACATTATATAATTTAAAGATCAAAGAATATCTTTCAATCAATCATGCTAAAAAAAGAATTTTTCTGTAAACTTTATTCTCACCTAATTATAAATCCAATCTAATGGAAACCAAAATGAAAAAAAAACAATTATTTCATTCTTGTCATCTTTCGTAAAGATCGTAATAATATAAGGCAAGCACAATCAAATAACATTTTATTTACTTCTATCTATATAGTATGCAAATGTATAAATCCAAAAGACATCAGGTACGAGCTGTCCGAATACCTTTGTGAAACATGATTTCACAGGAGTATTGAAGTATAGAAGTAGAAATTTGAACACCACAGACCATGACAGATTCTATACAATAAAACGTCTCTTATGCGGGCACAATCAGGACTGGCTAAAAGTGATCACTTGATGAAAATAAGGTGTTTTTTTTTCCTTCTGTCCAAATGCAACTTTTTTAATCGAAGATAAATCAACACGTGTGGATATGACTCGATGTTACTAGTTTTTAATACAAAGAAAAATGATGAGATGTTACACCAAACATTGTCGTTGCAGTCTAGTTTTGCTTGTTTTTTTTCATTTTTATGGGCACGATTAGCTTATCCTCTTATCGTTTGTATCCCGTGATAGTCTACTATAACTCAATACACATCACATCGGTTTTTACTGATCATGCACGTAGGTAATAGAACATATGTTGTTTCGAGTAGAGAGGTTGTTATTACTTATAGTACAAGAAATAAGCGCCTACAAATCAAAATAAGACGGATAAATTTTCTTCTGAAAACACTTATAGAATACATTGATTATAGATTATATATATGAATAATTTATATCACATGCTGATAAAGAGAATGTTCAAGAAATAAAAATATCATAGATATTAGATTAATTACTTGTATATTGTGTAAAGCATTATTGACCTATCAATTGAATGGAAACATCAAGGCGATGATTTAAAAAAGTCTACTCAGTTTTATATCTATCGATTAATAGATTTTCGAGTTTTTAAACAAAACCTATTGATTATCGAACGAAATAATAAACCCAAATCGTTTACTAATAACATTAAAATTCTTTCAATTTTTTTCGTGCAAAAGACGTTTGTATCATGATGGTTTTATAATTACATCTTAACATAGTTTCAATTATGTATTCTCTAATGTATATGTTTATTCAAATAACAATAAAATACAAAAGAATAAACATAAACAACAAAATATCATTAAGAATTTTCCAATTCTTGAAATCTAAATTAAACAAAAAAAAAAATACAAAGACAAACAACAATATCTATCAAACTATACACATAAGATACATACGAACATTTTGGACATAAATAAAAAACAGTTTGTCCTTCTACAATACGAAGACAAAAAAAACACAATCATCATTATATAAACAAGCAAAATTTCATTTAATAAAGAAAATACGTTACCATCTGCTGAACGTAATTGTCTAGTAGTAAATGACATTTCATCATGTCCGCAACGAGGACATTTTCGTTGAATCTAAATTAATATTTAAATATAAACATCATCGATTATAATTATAAGCCATCATACTAGTGTGCCTTCGACAGCTTCATTATTTTCTAATGTTTTCATCTCATCTTCAACATTATGAAAGTTGACATGAACAGTTGATTGTGTTCCATGAAATACTATTAAATGAAAATCTTTTACTATCAATTATAAATATTCATACAAACCTGATATATCTTGAGTTTTTTTGCACAACAAACATTGAATAATTGGAGAACCATCAGGCAAAGGTAATATTGTTCCACATGCTGGACAAAAATCTTGATCAAATATGTTACTCATCTAATCAAATAAAATGTCTCTTTGTATAAAATTTTCATAATCTATGCTGTGATATAGCCTTAAATTTGAACCAAAGTTTTATTTTCAAGAATAAAATAACATCACACAGACGCATACACACACACACACACATACAGATATAGAGGTGCAATTTATGAGCGAAAGAATCGTTTAACAGTTTGTCTTGCTGATTTTTTTGTTCCACCTTGTTTTGAATCAATATTACCACTTAACATATTTGAAGTTTGTAACATACTTAAATTATTATTATTCTCATTACTATCTCTTCTTCCACTAATACCACCTGATGTTTGTCCTTGTAAATCAATAATTTTAATCATAGATAACATTTCTTTATCATATTTATCTTGTTCGTCTAAATTTTTTTTCTTTTGTTCATTAGCTTTCATAGATTCATATTTTAAAACATTTAATAAAGCTGAACAATTTTTACACCATTTATCAAGTACATCTTCCATACGATTAAATGCTATTGTATTAACATCACGTGCTATAGCATATTCAACATTTAAACGATTATTTAATTGATCTAATTTTCCACGTATAACTTGTGCATATATGCCATCAATAATTAAATCTTCAAGTTCACGTACACTTTCAATTTGTAGTTCTTTTAATAAAAGTGTATAAGGTAATATTCGTGCATGTACAGCAAGTGATGCTAATGTTAATAATTGTAATTTTCGTCGTGCTAATTGAGATAATAATATAAAACGTGTACGATCAGATTCATAATCTGATAATGTACCATATGCAAACAATTCTAATGTTGATAAAAGTTGTACATGATCTTGTTTAAGTGCATTTACAAGTGAATCCAAACGAAGAAATTCATCAAAACCGAATATATCCGGATGTTCAAGAACACGTGTGACTAAATCAACAGCAGCTAAACCACGTACTGATTTAGCTAATAAGAGAAATTGTTGAGCGGCCTGTGAGGACATCTGAAATTTATATAGAGGACTATGATAGAACGAACGAAAAAAAAGAAAAAGAAAAAGAAAAAAAAGGGAAAATTCATAATACAGTCTTCTATTATTATATACACATGGCCGAGTTACATACAACTACTATCCTACGAAATACTGATAATATTTATATTCAAACTGATGATGATAATTCAACAATACAACAAGTACTCGCCGATATTGAAAATCTCATGGAAATGCTAAGTAATGAACTTGATCAAAATAAATCTTCTATAACATCAAATTTAATTAATTATTCACCACAACAACAACTAAAAATTACTTCATCATTATGTTATCCAACATCATCGACAACGATAACAAGTGTTACAATAACTGATGATAATCATCAACTTATTGAACATCTTCGTTATCGTATAGCTCAATTAGAACATGAACGAAACGTTCTTCTTACATCATATCAATTACTTATTAAACTACTTAAATAAATCAAACAAAAGAGAATATTTATATATAGACAAAAACAATATTTTATACGAATTTCTTTTTTTTTTTCTTTAAATATATTTTACAAAAATACATATTTAAGCATGACGAATTTTCCAGTTTCTTGAACCACGAAGATTCTTACGATATTGATCAAATACAAGATCATCGGTAGCCGTTTCAGATAAAGG